ATTTCTCTTCCAAGGACACCATCCCATCGCCTGAACGCATACAACCTTGTCAATGCTTCAAAAGATCTTCAGATGTTAAAATTCAGTAGGACTGCACCCCACTTGAGGTAAAAAAAAAAAAAAGATCACTTTATTGATTGACACCTTGACGGCGCTCGGCTGCTTCATTGTGGTGAGCGGCCGACGTGACCCTGTGACGTCATGGTCCCAAATGTGGAGAAGGCCGTCCGCGGAGCCGCTGGCCAGCCACTCGCCTCCGGGGGACCACTGAAGGCTGCACAGGCCCTCTTGTTGGACGACCGTGCGCCCTACGGGAGATGGAGCCCGCAAGTCATTGTGATGTATGTGTCCCAGGGTGGAGCCACTGCCAAAGAGTCAGGTAGGGGGGCAAAGTGAGGCAAAAACAAGCTACGGTAAATAACCTGCTTCCACTGTACAATTTGGGAAATGTTATCAACTATTCAAATATAGGGGGGAAAAAAGTCAGTTTGGGTCCATATTTGGACATAAGTATTTGTATGTAAATCCAGTTATGTAAATAACAGCTCCTTGTCACCGAAACGAATTTGTAACAAATTTATATGGTCTTTAATCTTTCCCTTTTATTGCACTTTTCCACCTATTAAGCCGCTCAAAGCACTTTACACTGACTTCACATTCAGCTACTGATGCCACAGCATTGTGAGCAACTGGGCCTTCAGTATCTTGCTCAAGGACCCTTTGAGATGGTCACAAGGGCCCAGGGATCAAACCCCACAACCTCTGGGTTGGGAGACGAGCATTCCACCCCTGAACCATGCCACCCCCACATATAGACGTATAGGCTAATTCTATCAACAAGAATTGGATGCAGCTCTGTGGTGAAGTTCAAATGATATCGAAAAGCCTTGATGGTAAACCTCTGGTGGGCTTCCGATAATGCTACCTGCTGAGAAGTTGCTGTTTCCAGGAAAGACCTCGAACCACGGATCGGTGTGAAAGCAGTGACGTCACATTCTTCCTCTGTTCAATGTCCCACAACTGAGAAGTCAACACAAGAACATTACAGTGCTGATTCAACTTGGTCTCTCATGCCTTCAGCCCCCAGCATGTCCTGTTACGTGCATACCTGCACCACCCCTCGCCTGGTTCCGATACTGAGAACACG